CTAACAGTGGTGTTCTCCAAGAAATTTGACGTCCCAATCGAGAAATTCTTCTCGAGGACGCTCCGTGAGAAGTTTGATTGGGCGATCAAGTCTGTGGATGAGGACTGGGACTTCTAGCTTACGAGAAACTTCGGTCTTTGGACATGTTCGTAGGGATGCGTTTAGGGCGGATATGGAATTAACGAGGCGCGGGACGGGAGACCTGCGGCGAAAAAAAGACGACACCTTACAGCCTCTGCATACTGGGCGAAGGCATGATGGGTAACACGAGTTATTGCTTTGCTCGATCTAAGAGCTTTATCTATTTGCTGCATATCCACGATAGAAGATATTTTTGATCATGTACACAAGCATGAAAATAGAGTTCTTTATTCGTTTGAAGGCTAGTCTCCCTAACACGGCACGATAATAAGGCCGATACTGCGGCGACGATCTCGATATAGTCAGGCTGCACGTGCCATGCATGAACGACTGTTCGGTACACTAAAGGCCATTCTCTGCTCGCCAACGCTTTTCAGGAGGTAAAATACGCAATTCTCACGGCCAAACGCCTTGTGAGACACCCGGGTCTATTTGCAATACCAGGACGGCGACCAAGGTCCAATAGCTGCGAGATCCATCCAGTTGAGGTATTACAGCATATACCATTAGATCAGGGATCTCTGTATCTGCTGTTGTGTCACGCGATACAAAAATGTCCCTTTTGAATGCGGTGTGTATGACATGACGCAGGTACAGACGGTTCAGCACGAAATCAACGTTAGATCCTGGCTGGCAATGATTCATGGCTGCTGAAGGCGCCGAAAGGTTCTCGGGCACTCCTGTCCCAGCAATGGGGCCCTTTTTCCATTTTCGCATTCAGATGTGTGGGTGTTGTGTTCCAAGCGTGTGGCTGAGAGAGAAGACTAGGGTCCTGCCTACCTACCTACCTACTTACACTAGTTGTGCATATTGCTTGATTATTGCTACAATTACGAATGACTAGGTTCTATAAGTATAGCATGGAAGTTCTAACCGGTTCTAGCAGGATGAAAATTGCTGTAATGATTGTGGCGTGCTTCTCCCTGCCTTTCTGGTCTATCCCTTGCTACCGCCATGCGACCCAATCCAACACGTCCTCCCATTGAGGTCAAGGTACTGCGGGAACGTGCCGTTTATCTTGGCTGCCGCTCGACCAGGTACCATTGCTCATCTCCCGCGGCCCCTCTCCTGCGACTGTGTACGACGCCCCGTGGGAGTGGTACCATGCTCCATCTATTCATGTTGGGTAGGTAAGTACTCAGATAGATAGCTGCGGAGTGGGGCGAAACGGGACGAACGCCGCATCTGTATCCACACCGCCCAGATAGGAAAGGTACACAATAGAAGTGTGTGGTAGACTACTCCAAAGCAAACTTTGGTCGACTTGCGGGGCGGACCATGATGGTGTGTGTGCATAGGCACTTTTTCAGCCACAAGCTTACGCCCAGGAGTCTTTTGCTCTATCGCCGAACTCTGCTTTGGACCGATTCAACGTAATTATATAAAATACCTGACCATTACGGGCGGCTGCGGTTGGTCAGTTATGGTATTTATTGGGCTCGCTTCCCCCCTCATGCATGTCAATGAGTCGCGTCGACCGGTTTGGATTATATGACATCGTTGCCTGCCACGGTTCAGCATTAGATCGCTACTCAGTTTCTCCGCCCACGTTCTGTTAGACGTCGTATTTCGCTTGCTTGCCGCTGCGCCTCTAGCTCAGAAGAGTCAAAATCTGCGAGTTTATTTTGCAATCTGGAAGCACCAAAAGTGCACCAGTGAAGACCGAATATCTTGCCTGATCCTGCCGAACTCTTCGGCTGAGGCAGGGCCCAGTGAGAGCCCTGAGCGCACCATCGATACGCCTCCATCCCCACGCCTGGTTTGACATTACAAGTCGAGCATCCACCCACACCACTGTCAATATACATAAAGACGACTCCCTATTGAGACTCTTTGCTGCTTTCGCACTTGATCACCAGTTGCCCAACATGACTGAAAAGCCTGCAGTTCTGATAATAGGCGGTTTGGGTTCGTCACCATTCACGACATGCCTGGTTGCAATAGGAGTTACTGACAGAAACATCACAGGGTACACAGGACGGAACCTGACCAAATATCTGCACGAGAACAACCTCACCTCGGAAATCCGTATCGTCGACAAACACCTCCCAGAGCTCGCATGGCTCGCACCGGAGAACAAGGAAGCATGCTCGAGAGAGCGCTTTGTGCAGGCAGATGCTGCGCAAGAAAGTGTGTGCAATGCACCCCTCCCCAATCACCTACTCAGAAGGGTTGAGCGCTTGTACAGCAACAGGCTGACACTAGGCTCCAGAGGCTCTACCACGAGTGTTCGACCGTGAGGGCGGCAAACAATTCGATTTTGTCTACAACTGCGGTGGCGAGACTCGCTTCTCACAAGAAGAAAAAGTATACGAGCTCAGGTCCTATAGCCTTTCTATGGCCTTGGGAAAGGAAGCCGCGAAGCGCAAGGTAAAATGCTTTGTGGAACTCAGCACGGGCATGGTGTACAAATCAGACAGCTCGCCACGGAAAGAGACAGACAAGTTGAAGCCCATGTCAAACCTGGCCAAATGGAAAATCAAAGCTGAAGAAGATTTGAGCAAGATTGAGGGACTGAACCTCGTCGTCCTACGTACGGCCCACGTCTACGGCCCATATACCAGCAAATTTCTGTCGACTGTGCTATGCATGGCACGCGTATATCAGAGTAAAAAGAAGGAGATGCGATGGCTCTGGAAGGAAGATCTACGCACAAATACCGTACACATCGATGACACAGTGCGAGCGCTCTGGCATGTTGCAGAATGGTATGCCAAGCAGGCATCGCCGCCAAAACCCTCGCCACTATTCAATATCGTTGATCACGGTAACACCTGTAAGTTTCATTTTGTTTCATCTTGTTTCATTTGCTTTGGTTACGCCTTCCTATTCGGCGTAGTTGCCCCATTGTCAGGCGAACGGATTACCTCAGTCCTCTAATGCCCAAGGTTGTCTTTTATACACGCTGACTGGCCTCTCTAGGCCAAGGAACTATTTCTAAGCTCGTACACGAAGTGTTCAATATTGAGACTGGTTTCCATGGCACATTAATATCGGCCTTTGCGCGGTTGAACCTCGATCACGTGGTTGACGAAGTGAACGACGAGACGCTTGATCCATGGGCACAGTTACAGCAAGCGGCTGGAATCAGTCAATCGACCCCGTTGAGTCCATTCATGGAGAAGGATCTCCTAAGAGATATAGATTTGAGTCTAGATGGTAGTGCTTTTGAGAAAGACACCGGCTTCGTGTAAGTCCAGAGGCAAATTATCCTAAGACTATCTACTGACCCAGAGACAGATACAAACATGAAAAAATCACTAAGCAAGATGTCGAGGAAGTCATAGAGAGCTACAAGAGGATGAACTGGTGGCCTTGAGATGACTAATCTTCCTGTTCGAACCACATCTCCACAACCCCTTCCGCAACGACGCATCTCCCTCATGACTCCCGATTCTTCTCTCCACGACATCTTCTTTTCCATTCAACATACCCCAATTTCCACGCCCGCCTCTCACACGATGCACGATGATAACAACAACAGCAGCACTTCCAGCGTTGATTACAGCATACCCTCGGAGCCCGGCTTACATTTTGTATTCAGCAGCCAACCCCTGCCCGTGTCCAGCCTTTTCCTTTTTTCAACCTCTTTCGGCCTATTATTTTCCTCCCGCTGAACGGAATAAGCGCCACTTGGGAGGTATCCAATGTGCCAAACTCGTAGTCTAATAAAATCACGCCCTAGGTCTGCTGTTCTCCGCGTCAGTAAAACCCCTACCTTTCACGTTCCGGTTTCCGTTAGCTAGTTACGCCTCTGCTGTTTTACATACCCATTCAATATCAATTGCATTGTTTATATCTATGTCAAGTCTTGACTTGCCTATGTTCTTGATAATTAGTGATCTTTTTTTTGGCGTGCACTAGGTATGTGTTGTTATTTTTTTGGTTTTTTTCCAAGCAAGGGGCGTTTAATTCGTGTCACGTTAGATGCTTTTCTTTTGGGAAAACGCAATGTCATGTCCATGCTGCAACCTTTTTGCATAAAAACCTAAAACCTTACTCATTGAGTGTTGCGAGTCGACTGTAGCATTTTCGACCAAAGATCTAGATGCGCCTAAACATCATGGTTGCGGAACTTCCCACTAGGGGGCTTAGATTAGTCTACATGCCAGCCATGAATCAGGCGTGGTGGCTGGTCTTGGCTCAATGCGGTAGGTGGGCGCTGTTGATATTTTTTTGTTGGGGGTGGCTTGTTTTCCGGACGGGAGGAATGTGGATGAGGGAGGGACCGAGGTTGGATTTTGGGGAGAGGGAAGTGGTGAAAGGAGTACATGAGCTGATGTAAGTTTACAGGATCTGTTTTGTGAGTATAACCGCGCTATCGTTATAATTACATCTGTGTGTGGATGTGTGGACTTTTGTATGTAGGTAGGCGTGTTGCATCCTTTTCGTCATTACCATTCCAAGGTAGATCTTATAGCACCTTGTTCTCATACTCTCAAAACAATGAAAAATCCACATATAGCACTGATTATGGGAGGTGGCTGGGTTTCTCTAACACTCTAATATTATTAGAATCTATACGGCCGAAAGATAACTACTCAATGTAACAAATGAAATTGCTTATAGCTAATGTTTGCGGATACTTGGGCTTAAATATTCCCCAACATGGCCATGTCGCTCAGTCATTTTGGCTACTTCGTGCCTTGACTACTTCGACTATGCAGAGACTATTAGGTATTATGCACAAGTAGATTTGATCGTGTCTTTGACAGCAACTAGATAAGGGATCAGGAAATTGAAACAGCTCTTTGATAAGGACAATATCATTGGTTTGTATAAAAAAAAAGTACAAGATCAGGCAATAGCGGAAAGATGTTCGAGGCCTCCAAAAAAAGATTGATAAAAATACAAAAAAGTGGACGGGCGGGTGATCGAAACCCGGACCTTCCGCAGACGATCACATGAAGGTGATGCAAAGCGGACGCTCTACCACTGAGCCACACGCCCATTGGAGCTTGTTTTCACAAGTGAAAGAACGGAGAATTCCTATGGTTATATTCCAAATAATACATTGGATGGCTTGTGCAACAATGATATACTAGCCCGAAAAGTTGAGCGCAGCCTGACTGAATTAGGTCAAAATTGTCCAAGCTTGAGGCGCGTTTCACAGCCACAACTTGGCGTATGCTCGGACGTATGTCACCTCGTCAGCTCCGAGAACACCAGTTACGCATTGTCTTACAGGAAAGGACACATCAAGACTCCAACTTTTCGCGTACGAAACTACATTCCACCACTTCCGCTTCTAACACACTTGAAATACTACGGTACCAAAGAGCTTGCTCGAGCTGGAACGCGCGTCAAACACTCCGTAACTGAGCGCAGAGCTCGCAAGCTGGCAATAGCATTACAATCGGTCGCACTTGCTCACATACAACAACCGCAACGATGGGGTCATTGGGGACATATTTCCTAGACGTCGTCTACTCCTTCACAAACTGCATGGTGTGCTTTCCTAGCTCTCCACAGCTCAAGATCAACAGCCGGAGCTTTAAAATATTACGGTTACTTGGTGAGGTATGCGCTGCGCCCTTGAATACTTTCCAATTGCCCACGCAATGACTAATTATCACCATAGGGTGGCTTCTCCTACGTATATCTCGTGCAGGACAATTCAAATCAACAGCTGCTTGCCCTCAAGAAGATTCGATGTCCCTTTGGCCAAGAAAGCGTGAGCCTGGCGCTCAAGGAAGTCGAGGCGTATGCGCTGTTTTCGCCACACCCGAACATCATTCATTCGATAGACTACTCGGTTGAGACAGACAAGTCAGATGCATCAGCAAAGACTGTGTACATTCTCCTCCCTTATTACCGCCGCGGCAATCTCCAAGACATGATCAACGCGAACCTGGTCAACCACACTAAGTTTCCTGAGCGAAGATTGATGGTGCTATTCTTGGGAGTGTGCAAAGCGCTTAAGGCTATGCATCAGTATAAGGTCCAGAATGGACCAGGTGGCGCAAAGAGTGAAGGCAAGGCGAAGAAAGCCCGGAGAGAAGCTGCGCGTGCGGATGCTGAGGCAGCCGAGAGCATGGAGATGCGACCAAATAGAAAGCATCGCGAGCACGATGATGATGATGAGCAAGAAGCCGAGGGTCTACTGGAAGAATCTGAGGCTACTAGTGGGCAGGAAGGCATTGCGCCAGGGGGCGAAAGGGCGTATGCGCATCGAGATATCAAGCCCGGTATGTTGCCATCGTGACCAACGCTAATTGCATAGTTGGTTCTAACATCTTGCAGGCAACATAATGATAGATGATGACGGTAAATCTCCCATTCTCATGGATCTCGGCTCCCTCGCCACCTCACCCACACCCATCACCTCACGCTCTCTCGCTCTACAAGTACAAGACCTCGCCGCCGAGCACTCGACCATGCCCTACCGTGCCCCGGAACTTTTCGATGTCAAAACTGGCTCTATAATCGACACCAAAGTGGATATCTGGTCGCTCGGCTGCACATTGTACGCTTGCTTGGTCGGCAAGAGTCCGTTTGAGTTTAGGTCAGATGAGACAGGTGGTAGTCTGAGTATCTGTGTGCTTGGTGGCGATTGGAGATTTCCGGACGAGGGACCGCAAAGGGGAAAAGCAAAGCAGACGGAGGAAGCAATCAGTGAGCCTGTCAAAGAAGTAGTACGACAGTGTCTAAAACTAGAGCCGAGTGAGCGACCAGATGTAGATGAACTGATCAGCATTGTTGAGGAACTGTTACAGACTTTACCTGAGGATGGTTTAGAGGAATAGGCGTTTTCTGAGACACGCGAATGGAACGAGACAGTGGAAAATGTATTCACGTACTTGAGTGTAATGCGTGTGCTTTAGGCATCCATAATGGGTTCATGTGCTTGGGAACGCAAGATACTTTTCTTCTCCGGCGAACAGAGAGCTATGAAGCATAATATACCCCATTTCCAAAGTAAATCTCCGAACATGGCAATCAAACATATTGGTGACGTACATAGGAAAGCTTTATTTATCGTAGAAGGATTCCTTTGAATACCTTCTATTTGAGGGGGGTTTCATATATGAAAGCAACCCCATAGGGAAGTCGTTGATCAGTTTACTGACCTCTCAGTCATTCCTCGCGGCACCAGGAGTACCTAATTTTATGAAGCAGCCTGACTAAATTTATCACTCATAACTTGGAGTCTGTACTTAAAGTTCAGCACAATTAGAATGCAAGCACTGAGTCCCGTAGAATGGAGCAATCTCAGCACCAGTATAGTACTTGGGCCTTTCGCTTGCAACAAGCTGGTGTACCTGCTTGAGATGTTCATCCAGCTCCTTCTTAGTAGTGTAGATGGCCGTTGAAGTACTACAGTCTACATGAGAGTAGGGGTCTCTACCAACGAATTCGCAGTCAATAGGCATCGTGGTATCGATGCTTTGTGCTAGTATACGTGGATGAAGTTAGGCTGTGCTCAAAGTTGGTATATACAATGGATATTGATTAGCCGTCAACGAGTGAGTCTTCTTCAAGTGGCCCGTGTAGTCGCTATAATTGGTAAACTCCGCATCGGTCTTGCAATTAGGGAAAAGACACGTTGTCGTAGTATAGTTCTTGCTGGCCCCTTAAGGTGCACTGAACGATACTAAGATAACCTTGCTAATGCACTTACGGGCTTCCGCGGTGGCTAGCATGTGATAGCTGGATAGGTAGCGCCTAAAAGCCTCGCGCGAGATAAAGTAGTGGTCTTTAGGCAACTGGCATGCAAGGATATTGCAAGCAGTATCTTCCAGCTACTTGTCCTTATAGTGGAGAAAATGGTGATTTTTGAGTAGATGATTAGTCGCAAAGTCCTTGGTAACGTCGTAGATCTCTCTGTCTGGATAAGGCTGTGGGAAGCCCTCGCTAGCCTTGGTGATATCGTACCATTTATCTTACGCTTCACTCCAATAGTAGTCGCGACAGGTGGCAGCATTGAGTCGCCCAAATTGATAGCGTCGAAAAGGACGGCTGTAACGAGCTTCTTGATAATCTGGTAGGTAAGCTATTGTTTCTCATAGACTAGATCCCGGGTGATCTCGCCATCATCAAGTAGTTTCTGAAAGGTGGCGTTGATGCGGAAGCTATCGTGCTAAGAGAGCTTGTATTTGGGGTGATGGAAGCTGAGCGCGCGATTGAGTTGCATTTCTGCATTCTTTATCACCGTCTAGGCTACCTTGCCATCTCTGTGCCTAGATTGTATGTGGCTCACTGAACTCTAGGTCTGAAGAGTTGAAGTATGCCATGTTTACTGATAAGCGCAACGCAGTGGGTGGTATTAGAGGGAAAGAGCGACGGCTAGAGGCATAGGTAATGAATGGGTGTTCGAGGCTGCGAGAAGAGTCTAAAGCGAGAGGAGAGAAGAAAGGTAAGAGGCTGAGTGGTGGTATAAGAGCGGGGACGAAAGGCTACTCAGCCTAAATGAGGAGATCTTTGAGAAACAATTTCCGTTTCCCACTAACATAAATTTCACGTGGTGAGTTCATGTAGAGCGACATGTCAAAATGTAAACATTTAAACTCAAGTTCAAAATCTGTATTTCATTAGGCATACTAGGAACTTCTACATCTCCCAAAAAGAAAACACAGTTTAAACACTGTAATTATTTTTCCAAGATCTAGTTCCAATGCTTTAAGAGCATACTTCTAGTAGTCGTTGTTACGCCTGGCATTCTTGGAGTCATACGAGTCATCGTTTCCTCTAGAAGTATTCTCATTGGAACCGTACGAGTCGTCATTCTTGCTACCGTACCCAGATGACTTGTTGTTACCTGAATCGTATGAGTCTTCATTGCGATTGGATGATCCGTAGCCAGAGGTCTTGTTGCTTGAGCCATAAGAATCGTCATCGTTGTTGGTACGGTTTGATGATCCATAGCCGGTGGAGGACTTATTGTTTGAGCCATAAGAATCCTCTTTGTCCTCATTACGGTTGGTTGAGCTGAAGCCAGTGGATGATTTCTTGTTTGCACTGTAGGAATCATTATCATCATCGTTGCGGTTGGATGAGCCGTAGCCGGTAGACGATTTGTTACTAGAGCCATAGGAATCCTCTTTGTCCTCATTGCGATTAGAAGATCCATAGCCTGTGGAGGACTTGTTGCTGGATCCATAAGAATCCTCGTTATCTTCATTACGGTTGGATGATCCATAGCCAGAGGACTTCTTGTTTGATCCGTAAGAGTCCTCGTTGTCGTCATTGCGATTGGATGAGCTCAATCCAGTAGAGGTATTCTTGCTCGAGCTGTAGGAATCTTCATCGTTGTTGTTGTTGCGATTAGACGATCCATAGCTAGAAGACTTGTTGCCTGAGCTATACGAATCTTCGTTGCGGCTTGAAGACTTGGTGTTTGACGAATAAGAGTCTTCGGCGTCATTTCCGTAGCCGGATGATTTCTTGCTACCATAGGAGTCCTCGTCGTCTTTGTTGTTACGGTTCGAGGATCCATAGCCGGATCCCGATTTGTTGGATGACCCGTACGAGTCGTTGTTAGACGAAACTGCGGCATTGCTGTTGTTATAGCCGGATGCTGTCTTGGAGCCATATGAGTCCTCGTTGTCATCTCCATACCCAGACTTCTTGGACCCATACGAGTCGTTACCGTATCCCGACGTCTCCGTATCCCTCTCGTTATTCCTGTTGTAAGACATGATGACTGATTTGATATTATATATCTCAAAGTTTGTAATATACTTTGGTGCAAGAATTCTCGATGTTAATAAAGCTTAGCTCGCACAAGTTTACTATCATATCTACACCATCTCTTCCCCTCCTTATATACCTCTTTTCGTCAAGGCCAAACTAGAACCCAATTAACCCCATTCCCACATGTCAACCTGAAAAAGCAAGCTTGAGATGCATGCTGCATATTCGTTAGCCCCTGCGAAGCTGAAGATGACGCACGTCTGTGCCGGTTAGAGCTCTAGATTCCGCCTAGACACAGATGCGTGATGGCGTAGTTT